ACAATAACAGTAATAATCATATTAAAAGAATACAGTAAGTTAAGGTAGACGATGAGGTAAGAGTATATGTGTATCTTACTGCAAATGACTTTGAAACGTACACTTATATCCTTGAAATAACAATTTAGCTTATTCTTCAGACCCTAAATGAGATACTATGCGTCAAACAACATAAAATACAATTACGAACTTCAGGTTACCGTATAATGTATTTATGTAATCACTCTACTCTGTTTATTGTAACCAGTAGTTAAACAGTATTAATAGCTAGAACATAATAATTGTCAGTCAGTCAGTCATCTGCAACGTAGGACCAGGCACGTATATGCATCGGTTCAAGTTGCCATACCGCATTAGCACAACAAGATCAACACCGGATTCATAAAAGTAGTTAATTCAGTGGTGGTAATATATAGAAGAAAGATTGTGTATAAGGAGATAGTACAGGAAGAAAGAATTAGTTCCTAGAAAGAAGGATTTGAAGTGATTTTAATCTCTTAATTTAAAGACAGAGAGTGTATACACCGACGCCATTGTGATCGATTCTGAGCTATGTCATCAAGAGTCTCCAACCATTGGTTACGATAGTCACGTGGACCGCAACCAGGCAGTCTGAATCTTCCAACATGGCTCAGCCCAGAAGTTAGTGACTTCAAGCACTGATGCCACGTTTTGGTTTGGCCGCCCCTAACTTTCTTCCAATCATCCCTAACACCAGTGAGCATTGCGCGTCGTGGTAATCGGTGTTCAGGCATATGCAACACGTGGCCCAACCATCTCAGTCGATGAAGATTCATAACCTCATCAACTGATTTACCATTATTCCCTTGTCACCATCTTGAAACACCGACTTCGGTGGCTTGGACATGTTCTACGAATGTCGTCCCAGAGAATTCCACGTCGTGCATTATTTGCCGACTCTGGGACCGGTTGATAAAAGCGGAGAGGTGGTCAGTATATGACATGGTGTCGTGGTATGAAAGAAAGCTGCAAAGGGCTAGCTTCTGTTGGTCCTTTACAACTCCCTGGTTGGGGTCCGAGAGACGGTGTAACGCAGTAGCTAGAGACGTTATCAGATATGGCTCAGAATAGAAGCCATTGGCGGTCGTGCTGTAACCTTCTTTTACTTTCTTCATAAAAAGTGGTTGTATCTTCCTTAACTGAAAGATTTCTTCTGATTGTACCTTTCCGTTTCCCCAACCATTGTTCTCTCTCTCTCCCTTATTTTTTATAATTCCCCACGTTCATTATTTTTTTCTCTTTTCTCGTTCTCTTCAAATTATCATTGTTTTGTGTGGCGCATATATATTTGGTGCCCCCCCCCCTAGTACCCTGCGTCTAACCTCACTATTACTTACATAATAATTGACAATCTCACAGATGAATCTGTATATAAGTAGTCAATTTGCAAATTGACTTCGATCGAAATTAAAAGCCATCAATTAAACTAAATATGTTTAAAAGGTGCCAATACTATTAGATTAAAGAAGAGTACGGGAACCATTCAAACGCTTTATCGAAACGATTAAAAACACATATATTCTAGTGTAAATGCAAAAAAAATCATTGTGGCTGTATTGAGGATATCTAAATCCGAAATATATCTCATAAGAAAACAAATCACCATTGATTAATGTGAATAATCTGTTAGATGAAATTATTAGGTGTCAACTCTGCTTATGGACTTTCAACATATTTTTACTATAATTTGTGGTTAGTGACAAATATCCATTTCATACAATCTAAGCATTGCAACTGATAAATGATCGGCTAACTGAAAATTATTTTCAATTATATTGAGGTTATCATCAACAAACCTTTCAGTACGACCTCATCAGGCTGTAAATGTCAACTTTATTTTGACTTGAAAACGCGTTATCAATGCTAAAACATAGGGTATTTCGACGTAGAACATACTCTAAATTATTAGTAAGTTCAAAATAACCTTGGTAAATTCGTATCGAGAATTGATAGGAGTTCATGAAAATGGTAAATGGTTTGAGTAGCGTCAAGTTATGGATTAGATTTCTCGAGTTAAAAATCAGTGACTAAAGATTTCACATGATGTCTGTCAGAACCTACTACTGTTAATTTGTGTCCTTTTTAGTCTGATTTCAGTTCATTAGAATTAGGATATCAACAAGTGAGGTTTGTGAAGTCGTCGCTGACTGAATCGTATTAACTCTTTATTATCGTTTAGAGAATTGATAAAAGATAGTCTGAAAATGTTTGTGCACAACAGGTTTCAAGTGTGAATAAAAAATTCCATTTGAAACTAGAATCCGTCAGACTCTTCCATGAGTACTTTTTGCAAACCCTGGGGCAGTAAAAGACTAAAATCTTGAATCAATTAGCCTTCCAGTAATTCTGAATATTATTCTTGAAGTCGTTTTCGATAACACACCGTTTTTTAATTACTGCTAGACTGAGGTGCGTTAGTAGTTGAGGACTACCGGATTTAGTGAGGTTCGGCGACATGGCTCGAAAAAGTTAGTAGTGACTCAAATGTATTCACTTTTTATTTTATCTGCAGACTATGAATTTCAATGCACCATTATACGTACCATATCAATCATTCTTGTTGAGCAAAATTCTCGATGTTTAGTTTTCTTGAACATAGTTGGTAACACTATAATATTGACATTTTTTGTAATTCATCATGCTAATTTCACCACGTTGTGCTAACAAGGTAAGGCATTTGAGATGAGGTACATTTGTCCTATCTTATACAATTATAATGACCAACTGACCCACTGATCTAATGCATATTTTCCTGTTTAGTTAGTCGAGTAGGTGGATTGGATTCCTTTCCTATAGATCATATGGTTACATACTAGTTGAATATAAAATGACTGAAAAGCAGTCGAACTAATCCATATACTTGTTTGCCTTTCGCTCTACCACCTTGTTCTGAAAGTCGCTTTGCGCCCATCTTGTTTAAAAATAATATCATCAACTATTAAAATATTTTACCGTGCTCAGCTTATGTTAGTGTAAGAAGTAAAAACAGATGGAACTAAATAACTAAGCCTGGTTTTTTTCATTATAACCTTTAAACAATAGGTTAGGTTGTAGTGGCTACAAACTTTCTACGAACCAGTCGTCTCTGAGCATTGACATGACTAAGATACACCATTTCTTCTGACGTAAAACACTTAATACCAGTATGGTGCTAGAAAAATAGTGCTATGTGATATTATGGTCTAGTCTGTGAGAAGTAAAACACCAGTTTTAAGTACTAAGATCGCATAAAATACTAATTTAGCCATTTTAATAAGCAATATCTACCGAGGAGCAATTGTCTTTAGAAGGTTTACAGTATCATAACGGTAAATCTCAATGGCCAATATGAACATTAGACAAGGTTATATTTTGTACTAAGAATATCCTTACTTGATAAACGTTAGTTGTATTCACGCTAAAACTGGTCTTCAATATATCAGCATTACTTTATTTACATATCCGAGGAAACAAGACCATACAGTTTACTTCACATTGCAAAACAACATACAGGTTAAGAACACTCCAAATCAAACCAAACCTTACATAACCTGTCTCTCAAGGGATTTAATATGTCACAATCTTTAAATGATAATCGACCTTTAAACCATGGAGACTATATTAGCTATTATAATTTTTCCAAAACTATTCTGTAATAAATCAAACTCTTCCTCTACTTAGCGCAATAAGTGAATAATACTAATCCGTTTACACAAACAGTCCGACTGAAGCTTTACATAAAATGACCACTATCTTTGCAGGGAGAGAATAGTAACCCGTTAGGATTTCTACCACAATGATAACTTCGAAATCATCAAAGTTGTACAACTGAAAGAAAAATTACCACTAAGGTTGATCAGTTGTCAAGAAATAGCTAAACGACTTTTCAGGCAATCATTCATCAGTCAAATGCAACGAAGAAATCGACACAATCATCAGCTGGGGCTGTCACACCTGATTAGTACAGTAACACTTATCAAGACAAATATTATGGTCATGTAAGTAGTAATGACATTATTGTTATTATTAGTGGTAGTAGTATTAGTAAAAATGATTTATTGTAAAAAGACTAACTAAAACATACTATTTCTATGTACAATCAAATATAACTTTGAACATTCTTTCATATGCGTTATGTTTTTGACTATCTTTAGTGCTACATATACAAAATAATGTGTTAGAAATTGGATTGAAAAAAGAATATTTTTTCAACACCTTCAGTACTATAACCATAGTTCCCGACTAGGTTCACCTAGTACTTGTATTTGATTTGACTAAATTAATACTTAGGTTTTGTCATCTGAACAAAGAGAAAACCGAAACCAGTGTTACTTTGGACTATATAAGCCTCAAATGGATTTACATGGTTCATGTTACAACATAACGATAATCTTTTACACCAACTTGCCGTACATGGACTACATCAAGTTGAGACTCATAATCATTTCAAAGTAACATAGAAAGCAAGTTACTGTTAGGAACCTGTTAAATGGAATGTACATTCAGACTTATCGTTGCAGACTGTTACTCCAACACCAGCGAGATTATAATCTAACTGCTCTCAAAACAAACAAATAAACCACTACTATCCCCAATACGAAAAACCACGCATATATTACGAATCATTCAATTTAAGAACTGATTTTTTCCAAATCATCATAGTAAGTCGCGCTGCATCAGAAGCATACAAACACCTAAGTGTTTTCAAAAATTACCCCCTCCAGTATTTAATACTTTAAAATCTGATACTGTTACTACAAATCTCTAATGCATAAACCTCAACACTTTACTACGACGAATCAATTTACAGTAATGACTTAAGTCCCTGTGGAATTTCACGTGAACACGAATTAACTACACTTGAATCAAAAGTCCGTAAGTAACGAACAGCAAAAAACTCTTTAGCGTGTTTCTTTTCAAGAAATCAACACAGAATCAACGATAAACGGATATATCAGAGGTAACTATATTTGCAGTATAAAAAGCACCTTGTGTCTTACCATTTGAACAACTGCGAACAAACAACCTTGAGTTGTGACTATGTTGGTGAGGTGAAACTCCTATTGCCGACAAAAGCAAAAAGCTACAGTATTTTTTTTGTGAAAACAATTTAATCGTGTGCTTTGAGTATTTATTTGTATACGTTTCAGGTGTTTTTTCAAGGAAGCATTTGTTAGCGCTATTTAAAAGTATCGCGTTGAATCGAAAGTTCCAACCATTTTTTACTCATAAAGACTATTTTCTCAACCTAATACAATCCACTAATACTGACACCAAGAGTACCGTTTTTCATCAGGATTATTTTAACGTCAGTACTTCTTGAATACATCTGTTACTTCAATTCATTTTTGTATTGGTTGTTTGAATTCTCTCTCATATGTTTGGGACTGCAATTGATCAGTCTGTTATTGCCATGTGAGCATCCTTTGCATTGTTCATTTGTAGCAAATTGGGATTTAACGTTTTAAGTTTCATTTATTGTCGCCAAATTTCAATTTTGTGTGCTTTCCCGTGTCTAGATTTTCTGAAAACCTCTAATTGATGTCGAAACAGAACATAAAAACTGCTAGCGTTCAGGCTGACGATATTCTATGGAAATTAGCAGGTACCGTGATGAATGCGGGAACGGCACCACAAAGTCCTCACGAATCCGACACCTGCAGCTTCCAAATGTTTTAGTAAAAATCGATGGGTGTGATCGTCTCACCAATGCTTTCGGGGATGCGAACTGCTTGTTATCCATAGGCATCACTGCGGTAAATATTGCTTAAAAGTATCTAAGCTGTCGTATTCGAGAATAATCAAATGGTGTTTTCCTTATCGATACACCAACAGATATGGAATCACTCCAAATGATCTAGTGTTTATTAACTTATATGTACCAAAGGAGAAAATATTGACTTCAAAGAGGTCCATTAGGAGTAAAAGCTGGAGAAAGGAAATTTCTTATGTCTCCCACCCTCCCAACGACAGCAGGTAAGAAACTCACAGATCTGTCTATTAGGCTAAGTCGGTTTCTAGAAAGAAAAACTTACACCAGGACCACCTAAGTCATCGACAATCACCCAGAATCTCACCGTGCGTAAAGCAACTTTGACATCTTTCTCAGTCAAAGCTTATCATTGGGCACAAAACAAGAAAAAGAGACCAATTAAAAAATCCAGTCTCCTAAACAGCAGCTGAGAAAACAAAGGCTGGTCACAGTGACAGCTCAGTCGTCTTTCGTACGTCAGGGAGAATGAAGGCTCAGAACCTAAAACTCGTTTCGATCATGGCATTGGACCGATAAAATGTATACTTAATCAGCTAAGGCCTCTTGTTGTATCTGAGCTCAACTTGCTGAAGAATTATCGACAGGGTAGTAAATGAGACAGAATCAAACCAGGATACCAAATGTAATATTTAAATATCCCAGTGAAAGGAGCTTGATACTACAAAATGGACAAAAACTAAAGAGGTTAAACGTTTTTGTCTGTAAACCCTTGAAGCTCGCGGATCGTATAAAGTGACGAAAAGCAGACAATGAACTAAAAATGAGGTCAGATGCTGGCGAGAAGAATCTTGGAATTGTACGTTTTCGGATAGTGAGGCTTTGACAGATAATGATACCGAAGCCACTTTGGGTGGAGCACGAAGCCGTTTATAGGGTCTTTGGACACGTTGCACAAATGCTGAAAGCTTAAACAATAAGTTTCTACTATGCCGGATGCAACTGACGTCAAAGAAACTTAGTTGACGCAGACTATAAACAGTTCCACATTAGTAAATGCCGACAGAATCCAAAAGCGTAAGAGAGAAGGTGTAGCTCTACTCGTTAGAAATACTGTCTTCTTTACCATAACCCGTAACGGAACGCGCGAATTAGTTAGTTTCCGTTTGAACTGCAAAGGTTAAGAGCTGCCAGTTGGTTTGGTCAATCACAGTTCAAACGGTGAGTTCAATGAGTTCTTACTAGATGGTTCCGACACATGGTCATAAAGTGGTCGACGTCTAATGTTAGAAAACTTTCATGAGCCTTCAGTACATTAGAAAAAATCTGGAGAGCGATTTGTCAGTAAATTCTTTCGATCAAAGGCTAACTGACGCGAAGATTACATGTTCCTTAGTGTAAGATATTAAAGTAGCGATTAGGTGCAACCCGAACTCCGAATCATCTTTATTAAATCTCTTAATGACTCATCATGAGAATGACGTCACAAACAGATATCAGTACTGCATTACTATTGGAGCACGACCACATTAAAGCCCATATATTGTCAAATTACTTTGCCAACATGTATATATACCTAGGAGCTGCTCTCCTCTTGTACTCATACAGACGCATCTAAGGCTACTGATAGAACTAGCAAATCCGAAATCCCTTGAGATTAAAGTCACAGTCTATCTGCAATCGTAGGTAGGTCACCAAAATACTGGAAAAACACCATGGTATGTTCTGTATTCAAAACGAGTACGAAACAGAGGACTGAGAACTGTCGACCCGTAACCCTAATTAGCCCGTTCCTAAAATCCTATAAATGATTGTGCAGAAGAATTTTCAGTATCTAGACGGAAACCGGATCCATTCTGTAAAATAGAGTAGTTTTTGAACCAGTAGTTTATGTCTCACAAAATTGATATTAGTCTGAGAAGGTGTTTAGCTCCCAGAGACCAAGAGTTACTTAAAGGTTTGGCCTACATTGACTTTAGCAGGGGTTTTGATAAGGTACTTTACAACAGGCAGTCATCTGAATCAAGTGGTATAGGGATTTGAGGAAATTTTTTCATGTGAATAAACAGGTGATAAGGATGAATTGAAAGTTTCCAAGCTGGGAACGTGTGCTTAGCAGAATGCCACAGGGTGAAGTTTTGGGGCCAAGTGCTGTTTCTCTTGTTTTTGAGTGAACATCCTTGTCTGTTGCCATCATCTGTTTTGTTATATGTTGACGATGTCAATGTGGAAAGCTTCTAAAAGTAACAGCGAGGTTTTGAAACATTGAAATAACCTAGGGAAAATATCTGAATGGTTTAGAATACTTCCGAGTACACTATCATGCATATTGATCACCGAGGTTTAGACACATACATGACCAACAACATCAAACTGCCCACTGTCCAAACACACTATCGTCAAATAGTCAGCTTTAGGAACGACTTAAATAATACGGCACAGAGCAGTGCAGCAGTTGCCAAAGGTTTTCGAACCCTACTGTCGATACATAGAGCCTTTAGCCATGTCGATGCTAAAACCTATTCGACTCTGCATACGGTGTCCACATGCCCTCAACTCCATTGCAGCATGTAAGTGGTTAACCTTCGCCCAATAAGAGGCATTACGGTGCTGAAAGAATGTTTAAAAAACCGCAGCTATTCTGATTTGTGGAATCGTAAATCCCTCGTAGGATGACGAACTGTCTGAACCAATCTATTTATTTTATCATATGGCAGAAGCAGAGGTGGCTTAACACAGATTTTAATTACTTAATGACAATCTTGCATCTTACTTACTTACTTACGCCTGTTACTCCCAATGAAGCATAGGCCGCCGACCAGCATTCTCCAACCCACTCTGTCCTGGGCCTTCTTTTCTAGTTCCATACAATTCTTGTTCATTTTTCTCATATCTATCTCCATTTCTCGGCGTAATGTATTCTTTGGTCTTCCTCTCCTCCTTCGACCTTGAGGATTCCATATGAGGGCTTGTCTTGTGACGCAGTTGGGTGTTTTCCCCAATGTGTGTCCTATCCACTTCCAGCGCTTCTTCCTGATTTCTTCCTCCACTGGGATGTGATTTGTTCTCTCCCACAGTAGGTTGTTGCTTATAGTGTCCGGCCAGCGGATCTGAAGTATTTTGCGTAGACAACTGTTAATAAACACCTGTATCTTTTGGACGATGGATTTCGTAGTTCTCCAGGTTTCCGCGCCATACAGTAGAACTGTCTTGACATTTGTATTGAAAATTCTGACCTTGGTGTTGGTTGACAATTGTTTTGAGTTCCAGATATTCTTCAGTTGTAGATATGCTGCTCTTGCTTTGCCAATCCGTGCCTTCACATCTGCATCAGATCCACCGTGTTCATCGATGATACTACCCAAATATGTAAAGGTTTTTACATCTTCCAAATCTTCTCCGTCAATTGTGATTGGATAGGTACATGTTGTGTTGTATCGAAGAATCTTGCTTTTCCCTTTGTGTATATTGAGACCTATTGCTGCTGAGGCTGCAGCTACACTGGTTGTCTTCTCCTGCATTTGTTGTTGCGTATGCGATAGAAGAGCCAGATCATCTGTGTGTTCTAGATCATCCAATTGCATCCTAGCTATCCACTGTATCCCGTGCTTTCCTTCAGATGTTGATGTCTTCATGATCCAGTCGATCACCAGGAGAAAGAGAAAGGGTGAGAGTAAGCAACCTTGCCTGACACCAGTCTTTACTTCGAACGACTTTGTCAACTGTCCTTCATGAACGATTTTGCAGTTTAATCCATCATAGGAATTCTGTATGATATTGACTATCTTCTGAGGCACGCCATAGTGTCGAAGAAGCTTCCATATAGTTGTACTGTCCACGCTGTCAAAAAATCTTGCATCTAGTACAACCTTATTTTTCTTATCTTCCTAAATAAGTGATTTACGAGGACACTACTAAAAAATTTAAAAGTCCAGAATAAATAACTTACCAGCGGACTAACAACTTTCATACTGTATTGTCAAAAAACAGACTTCATGACCATAACATTTGATCGCAGTTCCATCTATCAACGGTTTCAGAAGAAAGTTGAATAATCTGAGAGAACGTCCTATTTAAGAGTAACTCATGTCACCCAGCCTCCTATTATTTCCGAGTTGTTTTTGTGGCTTCATCAACATATAGTTCGTGCAAAAACTGATTTTCAAACATCAGTCATATATCCAGGTTAAAGAACTTTGTTTAGCTGGAATAATGTTTACCTAAATTTTCATTTTAAGCGTGTTAAGCATCAAAAGACATTTTAAAACTACTACATGCATTTCTCGACCATTT